GAAGCCCGACTGGAGAGGGTCCAGATAGACCGTTTCCTCCAGGTGCCGGGGAAACTGCCGTGCAACCACACTCTCAACAACCTTCGCCACAAAGCGTAGGTTGGAGACTGGACGATAATTTGCCAACACATCTGGGTCCAGGGAGGGCTTCTTAAGGAGGGGCCTCACCACCGCCTCCTTTAGGGCTGCGGGGAAGGCATGTACCATGTATAACCAGATATTTGGCTTGCTATTACAAATCTCGCCAATTATTTAAATGCTACTAAAGGACTTTCAAAAAGTTATGAAAATTACATGGGATTTCAGATCATCTCTTGGCCTGTCATTGGCTAATATAAAAAGATTGTCATAATAATGTATAAACATATTTATTACCTATTCGTAGTGTTCTTTTTGCATTTTTCCTTGTGCCGTTGCAAATACGCTGCAATTCACATTTTCCAGTTACCAGTCTTAAGAGCCACTTTAGCCAAAATCGAAAGATATTTGTATAGAAATATCTCCATAAGTCTATAATCATTTTCTATAAAAACATAGAAAAGAGGAAAAGGTAGCATAACAAGCATGATAAAACCTGTTTATATACTAGACCATTTCCACAGCCTAATCGCTTATTTTTAAAGAAAGACTGAACTGGTAGCTTTTGTTAATCAACTGATTTTACAATAAATTTATTATTTATTAAGCAAACAGCATACATAAGTACACTGAAAAGCAAAGAATTTCAGATATTACTGCCTGTAAAGCTCTTGGTTTGATTCCATACTCTTCTGTTAACTAATTTTCTCCCCAAAGCACCCGCCTACCTAAGCATTTATTCTGGATGCTAATCCTCTCTACAAGCCATAAAGTTTAACAAAACAGCAGAATGGTATTTTAAAAACGCAAGTTACTTGCATTGCCAAGATTTCAATAACCTGCTCTCTGGTAAAAAAAATAAAATTATTTTTTAAGGAGCCAGATACCAATGTTTTCTAATCTGGTTTGAGCTAGTACCTCAGTATACAAAGCCAAATATTGCAGTAGCGGCCTCAATAAGCAATGCTTTAATACTGAAAAAAAATACACATATGTTTTCTCCCCCCCCCTCCGCCTTCATAATGTGCCTTATGCCAGACGCTGATAACGCATCATTTTTCATTTGGCAGCTAGCTGCACAGAACCGAGTCCATATGAGGATTTCCTCCACCGTCCCGCTCCCCGGGCAGATTCCCTTATTCCCCACCCCACCGTCGCTCGGGTGCCCGCCCTCCTTTAACCGTTACCAGGCTGGTTACATCATTCCAGCGAAACCCATCAAAACTGGCCACAGCCTCGCTTCACCTTCACCAG